CAGGGCTCCCTCGAGGCGAGCGGGGCGTCTCCTGGCACGGGCCTCCCAGTGTGCAGCACATGACGATCCCAAGCCCGTGATGGGGTCCGCCACAGCGCTGGCAGCGGTCGGCGTGCGTCGGGCTCGTCAGACTGGCCCGAGTCAAGAGGACCACGGCCCTCCCGCCTGCCAGAGCGCGCGCGCGCGCGAAGAAGAAGAAGCCCTGGCCGTGGCCCTGGAGGGGGGAAACCACTTCGAGACGCGGGCGCCGGACACGAGATGAGGTCCGACCGAAAAAATGCGTTCGCACGAGAGCCTTCCGGGCGCCGCCAATTGGCGGCGAGCGAGGGGGGGAAGTGAGAAGGGCCGGGGCTTCTCAGAAGGCTCGGAAGCCCCCTGGCCTTCTGAGAAGTTTTCTAAGCCTTCCCCGAAGACACAAAAAACTTCTCAGAAGGCGCGAGGGCTTCTGAGAAGTCCCGCCGCCTTCTGAGAAGGCCTTCTCCTTCTCCCTTCCCCCCCTCGCTCGCCGCCGAGCAAAGGCGGAAGAGGGCATCGCCCCAGAGAGAGATCGAGCGACGTCGTGATCGAGTCGAAGGGAAGCCCCGTCCCTCGGATCCCTCCAGCGCCGGGGGGGGGGGGATCCCAGGGGGGGGTCCCGGGAAGGGTGGGGGGGGTCTCCGAGGGGGGGGTCCCAGGGGCTGTGACCCCCCCGCCCCCCCGGGGAGGAGCACCGCTCTCTGGGAGAAACGTTCCGCTCCAGAGCGTCAGCGTCGTCGTCGTCGTCGTCATCGTCGTCGTCGTCGTCCTCGCCGTCGTCGCCGTCGTCGTCATCGCCGTCGTCGCCGTCGTCGTCCCCATTTCGGGTCGGCGGCACTGGCCTTACGGCCTTCGCGGTAGCAAGAAGACCACCCTCGAAGATCGAGGAGGGTCGGAAGTCCTGGAGCGAGCCTGCGCGAAGGCCACATCATTTTCCCGTGTGCGCCGTAGAGGGGGAGGCACGAGGCTGGCTCCTCACATGGCGCGAGGCATGTGCCTACACGAGGGTGGGCAGGGAACGTCTTGGAAGAAACCGAGGGGGGCCAGGATATCTGAGAGACGTCATGGCCCAGGCCATGTATCCATACACACAATACACACACACACACACACACACGCACACACACGCACACACGCACACACACACACACACACACACGCGCACGCACGCACGCACGCACGCACGCACGCACGCACGCACGCACGCACGCACGCACGCACACGCGCGCGCGAGCGCGAACATACCCACATCCCTTGCTCTCACCACCTCTTCGACGACCCCGACTTCAGGGGCCTTACCCCATCCTCCCCCAATGCAAGGGAAATTCCCGAAACCCTCGAGAAACCAGAACCCCCCCCCATGCAAGTAAGCCTGCCGGAGCCCCAAGGATGACTGTCTCCATCCAGGAAGTGCCAGGGGGGCCCAGAGGTAGGACACCAGAAGGGGGGTCGCCACCTCCTCGAGGAGGACGACCCCTCGAGAACCCCAAAAGCCGCCCAGAACCACCCGAGACGCCCGAAAATGTACGGATCTCCTCGACCACGGAGACTCAAACATCGACCCTTGGGAAGAGCTCCCGAACCCCTCGGGGGTTAGCCCCCCCCCTGGCACTGCCCAATCCCTGTGGCCGACCAGGCGGGACAGGAGCCCCCTCCTGCGACGCGGCACCTAGAGACATCCTAAGTATATGGGGTCGGAGTAGACGGGGTCGGAGGATCGCGCCACATCGCCGATACGTCGGCGACACATCGGCGATGCATCGGCGATTGATCGGCGATGTACCAGCGATGCGACGTCGACGTCGGTTATGCATCGGCGACGCCGACGTGAAGCAAATCGAGCTCCTCATTGAGCCGCATTGGCGATGCATCGGCGATGCGGCGCCATCCTCCGACCCCGTCCACCCCGACCCCATCTAGGAGGCCTGGTAGGGGGCCACATGCGAACCCTACCCCTACCCCCCACGATTTCTGAGGGGGAGGGTGGGGTTCACTTCGTTCGGGAGCTTCCGAGCTAAGTAAACCCCACCCTCCCCCTTCGAAATCGTGGGGGGTAGGGGTAGGGTTCGCACGTGGCCCCCCACCTGCAGCACCCCTTTCGGGACGCGGCCTCCCAGGGGATGCCAGGCCACCTCCCCCCCGGGGCCTGCCTCTCTCGTCCCGCGGGCCACGCTTCTGCGGACGGTGGCCGGGGGGGGGGGGGGCAACGGCCTCCCGAGGCCCACAACGTCCGAGCATCGGCGGCGAGCGCCGGGGGGGAATGAGGAGGGGAAGGAGGAGGGGGGAGGAGGTCGGCCTAGGGGCGGCGGGCGGGTAGGAAGGAGGAGGAGGAGGAGGAGGAGGAGGGGAAGGCCTTCTCAGCAGGCGGCGGGACTTGTCAAAGGCCTCGGGTCTTCTGAGAAGCTCTTGGTGCCTTCAAGGAAGGCTCAGAAAACTTCTCGGGAAGGCCGGGGGACTTCCGAGGCTTCTGGGAAGGCCTTATCCTTCTCACTTCCCCCCGGGCTTCGATGCTGAGAGGGCTGGCCCCAGGTATCCGATGTCTCGAGTCCCTGCAGTCGCTGACGCACCAGACGTGAGCTCGCTGACACTCGCTTCCTCGCTGAGTGGCACCAGGACTGGCTTTTCCAGGCCCAGTCGAAGGATTGACAGCCTGCCACTTGCTGCTCTATTGCGCGTTGCCTTTATCTCGCTGTCCTTTGCCCCTGTAGCCTGTAGCAGGACACGGTCTCTGTGCCGATCGGGAGCAGCGTAGCGTAACGTAGCGTGAGTCTTTGCTCTACGGGATACCCCAAAAACAGTCACGGCCCTTCCCCCAGGGCTGGCGCCCGACCCCCAGTCGCTTCTTGACGGTCGCAGAGCCCGATGAGGGCTCCCAGAGGCCGACAGCGAAGAAAAGCCTCCGTCCCGAGGTTGATCGAGGGATTGGGATGTTCGGTGGCAACTCATGGGAGCCTCTCGTGCCATCTTGCTGACTCTTGCGAATCGACGCTGTCCGACGACAATCGACGCTCATCGATGCTCAATCGATGCTCAATCGACGCTCAGTGGACGCTAGCCGAGGCTGAAACAGCACTAATCGATGCTTAGTCGGCGCTTTCTCATCTCATCGATCACCGGACGCTAGCGCACGCTGCCGCACCCTGAAGACGGAAGTACGAGGGCATCTCGTGAGCTGCTACCGAGAGGGTGAAGGCTCCCAGAGGCCGAAAACTAGAGAAGAAAAAGATCAGATGGAAAAAGAGATGTCCTGGTTTTGCTCGAGAAATACGTTGTCGGACGCCTGGAACGGGTTCGGAAAATCTGGGTCCAATGCCCAATATCAAGTGTTGTCAAAACCGACAGCGGCCGCTGTTGGGCAGGCGGCCTTCTGTCTCAGATGGACGACGCCCGCGGCGGCACCAACAGCAAGCCCTGCTCAAAATGGATAGACACTGCTGTCGGTCTGGGTCCCCATTCTTTCCGTACCCGTTTCGATCCTATCGAGAGGAAGTTGTTTTTGGGCCCTAACTCGAACCTCCAGCGGCCGTTTGGGACGATCTGGGCATCCCCAGAACGCCTTGGGGGAGGCACAGCTGCTGGAGACCATCTCGAGGCTGGAAAGCAGCAGAGAACCTACGAAAACGTCCGAAAGCCTCAAGCCTCGAACCCGAAATCTCCCCTCCACCTGGGCCTGCAACACTGCCAAAAAAAACTTCCGTCGTGATGTTGCCTGGGGCCGTCACACTCTTCTCTGCGCAGCCCAGATCTGATGGAGGCGTGCAGGGAGCCCACAGAGGACGTGCGCCCAACCACATACATGAACACGGCCCCCCAGCCTGCGAGACCAGTCTCGAGCTACGAACGGTCGCGCCATGCGTACCCTCGAAACCAACGTGGACTCATGCACGTGAACCCCCGAACGAGTGTGCGAGGGGGGTCAAGGCAAACAGGGTGTTGCAAACGCTCTCAGAGAGGTGAGCCGCCGCTGCGTGCGGAAAACGCGTAAGTGAAAGCTCTCTCCTCTAGACCTCCTGAAGCCTGAAAGCTGCGGTGCGTCCCTCTTTTGTGCGGCCGGGATGGCGGCCATGGGAGGAGGGAGTCTAACACGACGCCGCCGCTGGAGGAACGCCTTCACAGCACATGCAGGCAGGGTCCATGGACCGATCACGAGCCTCCACCTCCTCGTCCTCCTCCTCGTCCTCCCCCTCCTCCTCCTCCTCCTCCTCCTCCTCCTCCTCCTCCTCCTCCTCCTCCTCCTCCTCATCCCCCTCCTCCTCCTCCTCCCCCTCCCCCCTCCGCCGCTCTCTCTCCTCCTCCTCCTCCTCCTCCTCCTCCTCCTCCTCCTCCTCCTTCCTCCTCCTCCTCCTCCTCCTCCTTCCTCTCCTCCTCCTCCTCCTCCTCCTCCTCCTCCTCCTCATCCTCCCCTCCTCCTCCTCCCTCCTCCTCCTCCCCTCCTCCTCCTCCTCCTCCTCCCCTCCCTGCGCTCCTGAATCTGGGGGCCGTCACGTTTTTTGTTGCGCCGCCCAAAGCCGACCGAGGCGAGGCGGCCCACCGGGGGGCGCGGGGGCGCCCGCAGCGCGGGCACCAAGGCGGCCGGGACGCCCAGGTGCGAGGCGCCTTCGGGGGCCGGCCGGGGGGCGTCGGGGGCGCCGTCTCCGAATTCGGGGAGGAGGAGGAGGAGGAGGAGGAGGAGGAGGAGGAGAGGGGGAGGAGAGGAAGGAGGAGAGGAGGAGGAGGAGGAGGCGGAGGAGGAGAAAGGAGGAGGAGGAGGAAGGAGGAGAGAGAAGAAGAGGAGGAGGAGGAGGAGGAGGAGGAGGAGGAGAAGAAGAAGAGGAGGTCCTCCTCATCAGGAGGAGGAGGAGGAGGAGAAGAAGAAGAGCAGGTCCTCCTCATTAGGAGAAGAAGGAGGAGGAGGAGGAGGAGGAGGAGGAGAATCGGGGAGGAGGAAGAGGAGGAGGAGGAGGAGGAGGAGGAGGAGGAGGAGCAGGAGCAGGAGCAGGAGCAGGAGCAGGAACAGGCTATCCCACGTAGTGGTACAAGGAAAATGACGGTTTCCTCCCCTGAGCTCGACGCGCCACGTGACGAAGAGGTAGAGCGGCGCGACGACCTTAACGAGGAGGGACACCTTCAGCTCTGCGGGCATTCGGATGGAGCTGCTGTGGGGGGAGCGGGCACCACCGCAGGCCCGTTTACAGAGCATTGACCCAATTGTTGCAAAAAGTCTGCTGGAACGGCCGATGACTCTATATCAGACTTGCGACTTTCCCACCTGGTTCCACACATATCCTGCCAGCACTGACGCAAACTGGTCGCCCGATCATCAGGCTTGAACATCGCCTTATCAACAGAGTCAGCAGCTACTTTGTGAGAGACCGTACTGTCGAGGCGGCGCCGCATACGCAGAAATAAACGACTGGCTGACCTCTTGCGCGCCCAGCTGTTCATCTGCTTTTCAACCTCGACAATGTGCGCGTCCTCGTCGGTGTTGGTCACCGTTTCCGAGGCGGGGTCGGGCGCGACCGTGGCTGCATCCAGCTCGGCCTCGTCCGACAGAGCCTCCTCGGCAGCGGCACTCGCAAAAATAGCAGCAGGCAGCGGCGGTGGAACAGGAAATTGATCATCTTGCTCCGCCTCCGCCTTATCACACGCGCTCGCTCTGATCCCAGCGCTGGAGCTGAAAAAGTCGGGCTCTATCACCGCAGCTGCAGCAACTTCCGTGCTGTAGCTGAAGGCGTCTGGGTCCGGTGCCCACAATACGCCGGCAGCCACTGCACCGTTCTCGCATGCTGGAGCGTGCCCCTGCAGACAGTCGGCGGCCTGGCCCGAGGTCCACGAAAGATCCCGCCACGGCTCCACGACAACGAGACCAAAATCCAGTGCCGCTTGACGACCCACTGCCAGGTGCAGCCTCCGCAGCGCGCGTCTCCTGCTCTTGCTGATCGTTCCATAAGGGTTCCACTCAACCGAAAAGGGGGGCACACTCCACGACGACCAGGGATGAACAGGTACGGTTGCTGCCATGATCACGAGTCGCCTCGATCTTAGCCACCCGTCCGACCTGTAACAGAAATACACAGTTCAGGTGCCACAAGCTTGAGCCAAAATGGCTTGAGCCAAAATGGCTACGGAGGAGGAGGAGGAGGAGGAGCAGGAGGGGCAAGCGCGGAGGCGGCCCGACGCCCAGATGGGAGGCGTCTGCAGGGGCCCGCGCCTGCAGGGGCCCGGCAGGGGCCGTCGGGGGCGCCTTCTCCCGAGCTCATGCAAGAGGGGGGCGCCACAAGAGGGCGGCTCGCAAATCGTGGTCCGAGGCGCGTGCGCGGCCCAGGGGGGAGGGCTGGGGGACGCAGTAAAATACGGAGACGGGGCCATGAGATCCAGGGAGATCTCGCGGCCCCCTCGGGGGGGCCCCGCGGAGGTGTTGGGGGCGCCCTCTCCGGGACGCACAAGGACACGCTGGCACAGGGTGCCTCTGCTGGGGCCGCACGTCCGACCCGAGCACGGAGCACGAAGTCTTGCGGCGCACGGTGTCCCGAGCGGTGTTGCCAGAGAGCGCCAGCCACGGAGCTCGTGCTGCGCAAGACTTCCGAGCGTGCGCGCTGGCCCGGCGTGGCCGACGCACACACACACACACACACACACACACACTCTGCGTGTCGGCGGTGCCGAGTCTCCGCTCTTGCCGCCGCTGGCGCAGGCAGGGCGGGCCTGAGCCTGGAGGCCTGGAAAGTGGCACCAACACCAGCGCAGGGGGTTGCCTCCACATGGGAAAGATGGTCCTAGATTTCGGTGCTGGTGGTAGTATTTCGGTCACCTTGGAAGCCAGAATAGTACCACCGTGACCGAGATCGGGATCTTCTTCCCTCGGTGCAGGCACGCCGCCGATCTTGGTGTTAGTGTCAACCTCCAGGCCTGCGACGAGCACAACCCCTCGAGCGCCCCGCTGGCTTCTGGAGGTCTTCTCGCAGCGGGATGCTTTCTGGTCGCTGCGCCTCGCCAATGAGCGCTCCGGAGGGTGCCTGGATTGCCCCAGGAGCGGCCGCCAGAGGTGCGAGCCAGGTCCTGAAGACCACGATCTCCAGCGAGGAGACTGTTGAATCCCTGCGCTTTGCCTCTCGATTTCGGACTTCAGGGCCTGGTGTCGGGCCCCAGCGCCATCGGAAATGGTCGAGGGCGGAAAACTGCATCTGGAGAATCGGTCGGGAGCTCTGGGGCCGCGGATCACGCCTCCAAGATTGCCAAGATGCCTCCCAAGACGACTCCAGAAGCGTTGCAACACGCCAGAAGGGCCTCAAGAACACCCACGATGGCCTCAAGACGGCCCAAGACGCTCCCAGGACGCCCCTGGAGGACTCCAAGAGGACCCCCAAGAAGGCATCAAAAAACAAAAATCATTGATTTCCCTTCGGTCTTAGCAGTTTCTCGTATTGTCGGGCTCTGAAAACCAGAGACGGCCCGAGAGGTCCTCTAGATCAGTCCAAGACGGCCCCAAAGTCGTCCCAAGAGGGCCCCAGGATGGCCCAAGAGGCCCCAAGGACGGCCCAAAAGGCCCTCAACAGAGCTCCAGAAGCGGCCTGAGGGGGAACTCGAAGAGGCCTCAGGAGCCCTCCCCCACAAAAATGGCCCCCAAAATCCCCAATATGCCCCTTCGAGGTCGCAAGATGCCCCTAAAAAGACCCAACAGGGCCCGAGGCGGCCCACAGAGAGAGAGAGAGAGAGAGAGAGACGAACTGACCCTGAGCCCCCCACTCCCTAAGAGATGGTCACCAGGACCTCCAACGTGCCCCCAAGATGCCTCCCGAGACGCCGCCCTGTTGCCAGCGACGCCACGGCCCCAGACCTTCAGGAAACGAAGCCACTGCAGCCCCTATCTCACCCTTCTGGGGGTCAGTGGAATGACGCAGGGCACTCCAGGGAAATCGAAACCGACGAGAACTTAACACTCAAACGCTCAACCCTCAGACACTTTAACACCCGAAATGCGCAAGCGATACCTCATCCACATGTTAGCAAATAACCCTGAACACTGAAGCCATGAACTGACGAAATTCAAGCGAAAACACCCACGTGCAACCAACATGCATGCTGCGCACGTCTGGGTATGTTTGGAAGCCTGTGTGTGCGAGTTTGTTTGAGTGTATGTTTACCTGCACGATGCCCTCGGGAGGCGCGATGGCGAGGGCGAGGCGCTGCTTGCGGCCGGTAGTCCTCCTCCTCTTCTCCGGCTCCTCCTCCTTCTCCTCCTCCTCCACCTGACCACCACAACCACAACTACCACCACCACCACCACCACCACCATCATCATCATCATCATCATCATCAGCAGCAGCAGCAGCAGCATTAGCATCGCATCACATCATCATCATCATCGCCATCATCAGCATCCTAATAATCATCATCACCATCATCATCATCATCGTCATCATCAGCATACTCATCATCATCATCAGCATCAGCAGCATCATCATCAGCACCATCATCAGCATCATCATCATAACCATCATCATCATCATCATCATCAGCATCAGCGGCAGAAGCATCATCATCATCAGCAGCATCATCAGCATCATCATATGCACCATCATCATCATCCTCATCATCATAATGGTACTCATCAACATGCCTAATCATGTGTACGTCCACCTTCGCTCTTCCTCTTCCTGCATATGGCTTATGGTTTATGTTCACATTGATATCCTCTCCCTCCTCCTCCCTCTCCTTCTCATCATCCTCCTCCTCCTCCTTGTCATCCTCCTCTCATCCTTCCGTTCCAGTTAGTCCTCATGCTCGCGCTCCTGATCCTCAACGCTCCTCCTCCTCCTCCTCCTCCTCCGCCACCTCCTCCTCCTCCTCCTCCACATCCCCCTCCACATAATCGTCCTCCTCCTCCTCCTCGTCCTCCCGCTCCTGTTCCTCCTCCCCCTCCTCCTCCTCCTCCTCCTCCTCCTCCTCCTCCTCCTCCTCCTCCTCGCCCTCGTGCTCGCCCCTCCCGCCTCTAGCCTCCCGCTCGCCGGCCTGCCCGACCTCCCGCCCGAGCTGCTGCTGCTGCTGCTGCTGCTGCTGCTGCTGCTGCTGCTGCTGCTGATGCTGCCCCATCGTCTTCCTCCTGGTGTGGCAACTCATGGGAGCCTCCCAGGGCATGTGTTGGCGGCGCGCACAAGGGGGGTAGGGGGAGGGGGGAAGGCGTCTCAGAAGCAGGGTGCTTCCAAGAAGCACTCCTCCCTCCCCCTACCCCCCCTCTGCGCGTGGCCGAATGTTGCTGGCTCGTTTGCGAATCGACGCACGCTAATCGACGTTAATCGACGCTAGATCGGCGCTGTCTCATCGATTACCAGACGCCAGCGCAGGCTGACGCACCCTAAAAACAGGTATACAAGGCTCCCATCATTTGCTACGGAAGTCCTCCCCTCGATGCTCGATCCATCACGTCCAGGCGACGCTTCAGAAAATTGTGACGGCCGGTTTTTGACGGTTTGGGGTCGTCGGACCTCTGGGGCAAATGCTTGGACACGCTCGGCCTCTGGAGACTGCTTCCCAGCCTCGGGACCGGCAAAACCTGCTCAGGATCAGAAGCTGGCCCTGGCAGAGGGGTCGAGATCCGCAGGGGGCACGTGCCAATGAAAAACGCGACGTCGGAGGGCAGGGATGCTGCGGACTGGTCTATCCTCATGCACTGGCGCCCTCGCAGGCCCACTACACCCTGGCCAAAGACAGGGATAGATCGGCGGCGGCGATGGGGGCGAGAAGCCCAGTGTGAGGCAATGCATGTGTCCAGGGGCGCCGGCGGTCCATGCCTTCGACGAGGCTCCCAGAAGGGGGACGTGCCATCCCTCTGGGCTGTTCGCCCCTATCGTCGCGGCCTTTCTTGCCAGGCAGACGGCGGCCAACCTGAGCGAAGGCTCCTCCTCCCAGCCGGTGAAGGGATGGGGCAGAGGGGGAAGAGGAGGAGGAGGAGGAAGAGGAAGAGCAAGAGGAAGAGGAGGAGAAGGAAAAGGAGGAGGAAGGGCAGGCAGGAGGCAGAAGGAGGAGGAGGAAACAGAGGAGAGGGAGGACGCGGAGGAGGAGGAGGAAGAGGAGGAGGATCGGCTATGCGAAGGAGTGACCCATTGCCAGAGTGGCCTTTGGAGCGGGCCGCTGCTACACAATCCCGCATTTAGCGATCGAAAGGGCCCAGAGGGCCCGCGCCAAAGACCACTCCGGCAATGGGTCACTCCTACGCATAGCCGATCCTCCTCCTCCTCCTCCTCCTCCTCCTCCGCCGATCCTCCTCCTCCTCCTCCTCCTCCTCCACCTCCTCCTACCTCCTCATCATCAATCATCATCATCATTCATCTCATCCATCATCATGCATCATCATCATCAACATCATCCATCACCACCACCACCATCATCATCATCAACAATCATCATCAACAATCATCATCATCATCATCATCATCTTTATCATCATCATCAACATCATCGTCGTCGTTCGTCGTCGTCGTCATCATCATCATCTCATCATCATCTCATCATCATCATCATCATCATCATCATCATCCATCATCAACATCAATCATCATCAACGTCGTCGTCTCGTTCGGCGTCGTTCGTCGCCGTCCGTCCGTCGCGTCGTCGCGTCGTCATGATCATCAAACAAGCATCATCAGCCCTCCCTCTTCCTCCCCCTCCTCCTCCTCCTCACTCGTTCATCCTCTCCCACCTTCCTCCCTCCTCCTCCTCCTCCTCCTCCTCCTTCTCCTCTCCTCCTCCTCCTCCCTCCCGTCCTCATTCCCCTCACTCCTCCTCCTCCTACCTACTCCTCCCTTCTTCTCCTCCTCCTCCTCCCCTCCTGCCTCCTGCCTCCTCCTCCTCCTCCTCCTCCTCCTCCTCCTCCTCCTCCTCCTCCTCCTCCTCCTACCTCCTCCCATCCTCCTCCTCCTCCTCCTCCTACTCCTCCCCTCCTCCTCCTCCTCCTCTTCCTCCTCCTCCACCTATCCTTATTCCTTATTGGAATATACTCCTACTCCCCCCCCAGGCCGGCCGATAGGGGCCACATCCGGGTGGTCCCATCCTAACCTGTAAAAAACAATATAAAAAAATCAGCATTTTTCTTATTTGTTCCTCTCGAC